CATAGGCATCGTCTTGCCAGGATACCGACTTCATCGAGGAGGGGTGCACAGCCTCACCCTCACCCTAACCCTAACCCTCACCCTAACCCTGACCCTCACCCTACCCCTAACGACTTCGACTTCGACTTGATCGACGAGGTCACTCCTCGTGGTGCTCCCCTAGTCTCGTGCCCTCGTGCTCTCGTATCCTCGCATCCTCTTGCCCTCTCCTCTTCTCTGACCCTCCTTCCTCATCGACCAGGTCTGCACCGACGTCACCCACTACGACAACGGCGGCCAGCTCGGCAAGCCGTGCCGCTTCGTCTACTACCCGATGACCTTCTCCGAGTTTCAGAAGCTCAAGCCCGAGATCGCCGCCGGCCTCCCGCGCATCGACAGCGGCCCGCCGAAGTCGGCCTCGCAGCCGGCGTCGGAGGTGTCGGGCTCGGAGGACGTGTCGGAGCTGTCCGAGTCGATGTCGTCCGTCTCGGCCTCCGAGTCGGCCGCGAATGATTAGTTGAGTCACCACTACTCCGTTGATGAATAGGTCGTCCGTGTCGGTCTCCGAGTCGAACGCGTCCGAGGGCTCCGGCCTCTCCACGACTCTCGCAAAGGTCGACGAGATGATTGCGGCGGGCCTCATCCTGCCGATGAACTTCCCCGACCCGGGCGAGCCAGAGGGGACCCGCACGTTCCGCAAGCCGAGATTGCCCGAGGTTTACCCGAGATTGCCCGAGATTAGGCAAGCCCGAGGGGATCCGCACGTTCCGCAAGCCGGTGATGACCCTCAAAAAGTGCTCCTTCAAGTACCCCGAGACGGACCGGTACATCCTCAAGGAGGTCGACGCCACCGTCACGCTCGGCTCGCGCGCCGTGATCGTCGGCGGCAACGGCTCAGGCCTCTCGACCCTCCTCGTGGTCGGGACATGTCCGGGACACGTCCGCGACATGTCCGAGACGCGCCCCGTAGGCAAGTCGACCTTCCTCAAGCTTCTCATCGGCGACCTCGAGCCCGAGGAGGGGCAGGGGGAGATGTGGAAGCACCACGCGCTGCGCCTCTCGTGCGCTGCGCAGCCGCCGCTCCGCCGCCCCTCCCCAGGCCTGAGGACGCCGATGAGAAGCTTGAGGAAGGTCGACTTGCTTACGGGGCGCGTCTCGGATATGTCGAGGATGTGTGCCGGACATGTGCCGACCACGAGGAGGGTCGAGAGGCCTGAGCCGTTGCTGAAGATGATCACGGCGCGCGAGCCGAGCGTG